GTTCCAGAAATTATTTATCTAAATTAAGTTTCATTGTATATTTTAGTTTATATTAAGAGCTTTGTGGTTAAAAAAAATCAAATTTTTCTTCCTAATTAAGCTGCATCAGTTCAGTATAATATCATATTTAAATAAATAATTAATAATATTCGTATTAAAAAGTAGTAACAATAATATTTTTATTTAACAAACATATTTGTCATGACAATTAAGAGTAAAAGCACATCTAACGCTTTACTTATTTTAAAATTAAAGTCAATAACAGTTTCCCAAAAAGACAACGGATAAATAAATGAAATATAATCATGTGAAGAACAAATCCAAATAAAAAATAAATAGAACAATTAAAGTAGTTAAGATAAATATAATAATTAGATGTATAAATTGCTAAGAGAAATGCAATTGGATAGCTAAGTTAATAAATATTAAAGTAGTTTTGCATGGTCTATCCATTAAAGTTTATTTATTTTAATGAGATATATATATATATATATATAATATATATATATATATATATATATATATATATATAATGCGTTGTTTATAAAAAAAATGCACCACTATGAAGGAATCATCAGAATTAAATGAAATTTAATGCACAAACGACCTGTATTAGTACAAATAAAAGACGAAATTTTCAAAGGAAAAACACAATATTAAGTGTCAAAAATCAGTATTTGATATTTCCACAACGCGCTGCAATAGGTGTTGCTATACGACGTGGCATGGAGTCAAACAGATTTGGAATGTCTGCTTGTGGAAGAGAATTTTATATTGCTTGTATGTGCAGTAAAAGGTCGTCTTTTGAAGCTTCAGAACTCGGATCAGGAGCGAAACGATGACCAACCAAATCCCAGACGTTCTCAATAGACGTCATATCCGGCGAATAAGCAGGCCAAGGAAATGTTGCATGTGTTGGGCTGAACAGAAGTCTCGAACAGTCTTTGTAACATGAGGGCGTGCACTATCTTTATGAAAGATAGCTCCAGGGATACGTGAAGGAAGGGAAAGACTTCGGGCTGTAGCACTTCACGGATTTACCTCTTGCTAATGAGATTACCCTCAATCTCGTAGCAAACCATCATACGAAATCACATCTCAAATCATAACTCCGGCTGTTAGGCACTATGTCGTTCAATAACGCACTCTGGGAGGCAGAGTTCAGCGGCAGCGGCTAACACGAATGCAGTGTTAGACGCTAGAATAGTGCGGTTTTCATTTGTGGGCGAATAGTCCCACAAATTGAAGCGTATATAATTCATCTGAAAAGATAACTTGGTGCCAATCAGCTTGCCAGGCCCTGTGTTCATGACCCATTGTAGACGCAGCCGTCGATAGTTTGCCGTGAGGTTGATCCTGTATAAAGGCATACTTGCTGGCATTTCCACGGTGCAGCAGACGTCGCCGAATTGACGAAGCTGACATTATTACACCAGTAGCAGTAGAACAACTTGCTACCAACTGCCTGGAGGAAACTGTACGGTCATTCACTACTAACGGATCTTGTGTCGGTCGTTCTGAGCTGTGGTCACCTTCCGTCATCCACTGTCAATTTTTCGAGTTGTTCAGTGCTCATCAGTTCACTGTATCCAAACTCGCATCACTTTGGAACTGTTCCGCTGCACACGTGCCTATGGCGCGATAGAAAAATCCTCCTTCTCGAAGGCCAATAATCCCCCCCGCTCAAATTCTGTAATTTGTTGGAATTTCTCCTTATTTCTTCGTAGGGCATACTTAGGTCTCACTAAACGTTCACCACTCAAATAATCATTAATTATTTTCAACGTCCCGCTACAGCCCTCTATTTACACGTTTTCAGCATCAGTCTAAAGGTCGATCAGGAGGACACGCATGCGTAGTGGCTCTGAAACTTTACCATTTTACTTAACATCCTATAATTGATATTTTCTGCAAAGTTTATTAAATTTTGATCATTCCTCCATGGTGTTGCATTTTCTACAAACAACAGTGTATATATATATTATATGTCGTCCAAATTTTCTTTTTTTTTTCTTACTGAATAGTAAATGTAGTTAAGATACTCAGATTTTGACACTCACATATACGGACAATTTAAATCAGGTGTGGGGAGACTTTACCTGGTAATGTCTACTTCTAATATTTTTAAGGAGTTGCGGTCCCCAGTGACATAGGTGAGACCATTATTTATAAAATTTCACGTTTTCCTTCTTAACACTTATTGTATACATCTTTTAAAATATTACAAATTTCTATTTTTACTACAGAAACACAAGTAATGCAAAATTGTTAAGTTGGAGGCTTAAAACACAACTATCAGCGATTGCTACGTAGATGATGAAAAGGAGACATATTCAATTCTGCGAAAAGAAAGCATATGTGAACTGATGAATCAGAAATCAATGCATGTACTTAATTTGTTCACTGTCGAGTACCTCGTCAAAACCGGGCTTGATATCAACACAAGAACTCAGTCCCGTGGTAGCGCGAGTTTGGGGTCATGTCTCAATAGTCAATCTCACGCTATCGCGGGAAGAGCAGATCAGCAACGTTTATTTTCCTCTGCAGTCTGTTTGGGGAGAACTCATTTCAAAGCTGGCATGGCGCAATGATTTTTCCCTGCAGCAGTAATGATGTCTTAAGCATCATCGTACGCCTCCAATGAAGGTACACCTTTCGTCTGCACATTTATCGAATCATTTTCTTAAATAAAAACAGCCACTTGGATTGTGAAATACTTTTTCTCTAGCTTAGCTGACGTCGGTGTTCCATGAATATGTTTCTTTTAGTATGCGTCTCTTAGGTCTTAGTAAAGGGGGTCACTCTGAAATGTTTCTGAAAGCCCACCGGTCGGTTTAATGCCCATCCGGGCATTTAATAGCATTTTTGGAGGAAAAATATATTTCCTAGATTAGATCTTCGTATGATATTTAGTTTAACTTAAAATGCATGTCTGCACATACTGTTTCATAAAGTCTTTTAAAGTTTATCTACCGCTAAAAGGTTTGACTCAAATTTGGAACATATTTTCAGATGGAAAACGATACCGTTTTTTTTTGACGAATTCATTACATATGTGTGTTAATTATGAAGTTACTTTAAAAAAAAAATCATTAATACTGATTTTTTGCGTGAATATGTAGAGTAAAAATTATTTTAAGGAAAAGAAAGTTGGAAGATATTCTACACAAGAAAAAAATATATTGGTTCAGAAGGACAATGAAATACACCTTGTATTTTTTTTATTGAAAACATTGATAAAATCCCCGTTCACCACAACGTATCACACAGGGCTCACAGAAGTAAGTATTAATCACACAATACAAAGGATGAAGAAAGAAAAAAATAAAGAAAAAATAAATAAGTAAAAAGATAACCCTTGAGGTTAGGAAGCATTACAAATACTCATAACAAACTCACTGAACTTTTTAAAAGTACTTCTGGTGGAAAGCAGTTGAGGAAGATTCGGAGGCAATTTACATTAAGTCCCTTGAATGCCAGTCTTAGGATATGCCGTTCTCTTTCAAACTTGGAACACAGAAGGAGCATATGTTTTACACTTTAATCGCCACTAATATCGCAATCACAGGAAGATGACGGAACTAAATTAAATTTGTTCAAGTAGCTTTTAAAGTTGCCATGACCAGTTAGAAATTGGGTTATTTTGTTATTAGTATAAAAATGATGGCAGGACAGTCTCTTATTAATGGTTGGAAAAAATTCTTTGTTACGCTCCATTATTTGATGTGAGATATTCTTGGTTCCAAGACTTTACCATTCTTTCCTCATAATCTTCTTGTAAAATGACTTAGGAATATTAATGGCAATGTCAATTTTGCGCTTGGTTGCAGCCTTGGCTAGCCAATCGGCCCGCTCATTTCCAAAAATGTCCTGTGTCCGCGAACAAATGCAAAATCTATTGAGATGTTTTTATCTTTTAGGCTTTTAACTTGCTTTTGAATCTCGGCGATTATGTTGTTAGATGAAGAAATACTTAAGAGAATCCAAGGAGGAAAAGAGTCTGTACAGATGAGATAGTCTGAGACACTATTTTGTTCAGTGATCCATTTAATAGTTTAAACATAAAATTCAGCAAAAACTGTGCATTCATCACGAATTCTAAATTGAAAGTGCTCGGATTTACACCACTCCTGAACACAACAAAAGCGAAACCAACTCTGCCAGCAATTTTACTACCATCAGTATAGCAAATAACTGGAAAATCATCAATATTTTTGTCACTGTGCTTTATAATATTGATGGAATTCCTCTCTGAATATGAGGGAGAAAAAATGGAGATATAGTGCAATCATAATTAGAGATGGAAGAAGCAGGAGATTTTCCCTAAAAGCAATATTATGAAGAATAGCAATGTCGATTGGAGGGAATCCAGAAATAGCAAAAACTGACTCGTAACTTATGGTACGATAACCGCAAATGACCCGCAAGAGCATCCTTCTTTGTATGCGTCGCAGATATCTAGAATTCATCTTCCTTTTAAGTGCCTCACCCCAAACTCTAGAACCATACATGATGAAAGGTTCGATTCCTTGCTTATAAATGAGCGAATGTACGTTGAAATCTATACCGAACGAGTTGCGTGCAATGCGATTTAGTCCACGCTGCAATTTGTAACATTTCTCTGATATATAATTTAAGTGCTGCTTCCAAGAAAATTTAGCATCCAGAAAGACCCCAAGATATTTCATTTGTTTTACCATAGTCAAGGAGTACCATCGAGATGCAGCTGAAATGCATCGTAGCAAACGTTTCGTTTTTCAATAGTCATGACTCTGGTTTTAACAGGATTAAAATCCATTTTAAAATTCTTTGACCAATCAGAAGCGAGGTTCAAAGTTTCCTGTGCGTGTAGGAAAGTCGCAGGAAGACCCCTAACTTGGAAAAAATTAAAATATCATCAGCAAAAGCTATGGTTTCACAGCAGGCAAGATCATTAAGTTTAAATAAAAGATCGTTGATAATGATATTCCAAAAGATAGGCCCAGAAACTGATCCTTGAGGGGGATCCGGAGAAGAGTTGACTTTTCTTCGTAAGAGTTCGTGTCCCTGGAATCTCGTCACGAGGAGATAGGGACGCTGTTCTCGGTAAGACCACGGTCGCTGCTGCCTTGTCCGGTGCGCCTCCGCCAGTCCTTGAAAAGGGGGAGTGATTTTCGTGCCGGTCCGTACCCATATCCGCAGCAGGTCTCCAAGGTGAACAGCTCTAGTCTCTAGAATAATGTAGGTAAGGGAAGTCGTCAAGTTCGATCCCTAACTTCGGGAAAAGGATTGGCTCTTGTGTTTCGGTCCTCGTGGACCTCTTTTGCCAAAGCCGTTTTTTCTACAGTGGGGACTGACTGCTCACGAGGGTGGTCGGACCTCGCGGCGGAGAGACGGAAGAGGAAAGAGGGTGCGCTTTCTCATTTAAAAGAGTTGGTGTTGTACCACGGGACATGGAGGAAACGAACAAGAACTGGCACGGACTAGGGAATCCGACTGTCTAATTAAAACAAAGCATTGCGACGGCCGGAGAACGGTGTTGACGCATTGTGATTTCTGCCCAGTGCTTTGAATGTCAAAGTGAAGGAATTCAATGAAGCGCGGGTAAACGGAGGGAGTAACTATGACTCTCTTAAAGTAGCCAAACGCCTAGTCATCTAATTAGTGACGCGCATGAATGGATTAACGAGATTCCCGCTGTCCCTATCTACTATCTAGCGAAACCACAGCCAAGGGAACAGGCTTGGCGAATTCATCGGGGAAAGAAGACCCTTTCGAACGTGACTGTAAGCCTGACTCTGTGGCGAGGCATTATTGGCGTAGTCTAGGTGGAGTCTCATACGAGGTGGAATTGTGAAATACCACTACTTTGATAGCCTTGTTACTGATTCGGTGATGCTCTTTGTTCCCCTATGGGGGTAGATTTATTATGTGATTTGTAATCACCAGGAATGAACTGGCTGGGAAGAGCTCCGAAGATGGTGTCAGCAGGCAGTTTGTCTGAGGCGGAACATCTGTCAAAAGGCAACGCAGGTGTCCCAAGGCCGGCTCGGCCGCGGACGGAAACCTGACTTAGAGCAAAGGGGCAAAAGCCGGCTCGGTCTCGTTCTTCAGTAAGGAAGGGGACCTCGAAAGAAAGGCCCATCGATCCTTTCGATTCGCTGTGAGAGTCTCACGCGAGAGGTGTCAGAAAAGTTACCGGAGGGATAAGAATGCAAGGCCACCATGCGTTATCGAAAGCACCTTTTATATCAAGATTGAGTGTAAATGCTTCTTTTTACCTCTCTTAACAATCTCATTGAAACATAAAAGATCGTCTTCAGTGCTCTTATGAGGGTAAGACCATCACCCCTTGCTTTAAAAATACCTTACGTCTAATGTTAAAAAAGAACAATTTTGTTCCAATCCATCTTGCACAATAAGCTTCGAAGATCATTAACAGCATTTCTAATAATGCTATTAAGATTTATACTGATAGTCGTAGAATATCATACCCGGCATATAGCGGTTTATATATATTGATGCTCTGCCCAGGGAAAGTTAACACTTCAACATGTAAAGGATGTCCTCAACATCCATTAATGATTGGGAGTTAGAATGATATAACCAGCCATAATCAAAACAAATATAGTTTATTAATCTTGTAACAAGATTCGCAAACCCAGACTAGGAAATGCACTTATAATAAAGTATTGGATCAAAAACGAGGAAAGACGAGATATTTAATATTTAATTATGAGTAGAGTCACTTACTTTTGGAACATTTGGTAATTTACGTTCTAAATAATCGTATCTCCTATCTCAGATAATTGACTTCTGTCGATTTAATTTTAATTCGAAAATCTTACTGACTGAACCGTCAATTTTCGATCTTATATGTTTGTTAACTAATCGACGAGTCGCTCTCGTCCAGCTTTCAATAACTTTATACTAATCACAAGCTTTTATTATCTAACTCCTAACTCTTTCTCACTTTCGAGCCTTAAAGTTAATGCTTAAATCAAGCTCTGTGATTTACATAGATCGCATCTTCTTCTTTAAGAGAAAGTTTTCTATTGAACAAAATTAAAAAAATAGATTTTCCCCAAGAGGACTAGTAAGAGACAAACGAATAGACCTTTTACAAATAGTGTATTCAGGATTTCTGTTCAACTTTTTTTAAAGTGAAATAATAGCAATTGTGTTCTGCTACATAAGATCATCACGAGCTGCAAAAACTATGGTGATCTTTGATCTATTTTCGGTAGCCGTAGCTCGCTGCAGCATCTCAGTAATTGGTACCTTCTTGGCGATAGAACTAATATTTTAAGCATTCAAGTAGAAAATATTTTTGCTACACCGTAATATCCGTTTACAAAAATTTCATGTCATGTAGAACTTGCAGAGAATGAAATGGTGAACAAACTCGCAAAAGGAATGCAATTTTTTAATTCCTTTCTCTTCTGAGCTTTCCCTTTACAATTAAACTCCCTGGAAAAATCACAAAATATGTGAGAGGCTCCTTCCACTCATCATCATTGTGTAGGTAATAGACCGCGAGCACTTGATCGAGGCTCCTAGATTGCACTCACACATCTTGCCAGTAATCACATCAATTGCCTCACATTTTCAGAGAACGTGAAGTTATTTGGCACTTTAGCCGTGTATATGTTGGGTTCTTCAAGGTTCTGCTTTGCACATCTTAAGTCAGTGCTTTTCAAACTTTCAATATTTGCGACCCAATTTTCAATCATAATTTTCATCCCCCCCTATACATAAACAATGCAATAATAATTTATTTTAACAGCAAACCTACCATACGACCTTTATTATAAACCACACAAATTATCAAGATAAACATTAAATTTTGTATGTGTTACTTTTATAGGTAATATATATATTTTAAATGAGTAATAAGTTTAAGTAATAAGAAAAAAAAGTGTTTGTTTTCTAATGGGGCTGCACATTGGTATTTTAAACCTTTGCAGACATAGTTTATTCTCCAGGAGCTGGAATCACTTTTTAGTGCTGCACCATATAGGCTGTACCAAATACAGCAAGCAATTTTGACACCTAGTTTCCTCCACAGAGGGAGGCACCTGAGCTTTTGACGATGCGAACCTGTACTAGGATTTAATTTTGCCGAGAGCTTTCAAGGCAAACAGACATTTAAGGGATCTTTCACATGCAGTCTAATCATTCGACAGGGTTGCTATCGATTTTCTGCATCTTGAAACTCCGCCGACTTGGGCCGGGGTCGAACTCGCAACCTTGGCTGCATAAGGCTAGCGACAAACCAACCACGCCACCCAGCCAACAAGAACAAAAGTGCCACGTGTTACATTTCCATTTTGATCTTTAAATTGGAAGATTTGCAATAAAAGTGCAACGTGTATTTTTATTACATTAGAATGTATGTTGTTTTGGATCCTTTGCTAAATTTATATTTTCTGAAATTTTTTAACTTTCAACCCCACGTCCTTTTAGGGGTTTGAGTGAGTGAATATTAATATCGCACTATTCGGCTACACGAGGGCTTTTGGTGACGAACCTCGTCATTTTGAACCATGGTCAAGTGACACCCGAGATTGGCAACCCCCTCTCCTAACTACCACACAAAAGGGAGGACGTTTGAGTTCTCGACAGATTTAACGTGCATCACACCCCTACACGGTGGGTCTTCAGTGATACTGGGCTCGAACTCATGACACGCCAGCCACGAGTCAGTTACCTTGACCACTAGGCTACCGCGGCCACTTCCTCCTCACAGTTTGAAACACTTTGCCTTAAGTTGTATGAACTTCTGGGAAAGCTCCTTATAAGACTCCCATTCTTGCGTGAGAGAATATTAAAGTCGCACTGATTAGCAACACGAGGGCTTTTGCGACGGTCGCGTAATTTTGAACCATGGTCAAGTGACGCGGACGACACCTGAGCTGGCACCCCTCTCCTAACTACCACCCCACCACGGGAGGACGTTTGAGCTCTCGACAGATTTAACGTACATGCCCCCTTCACGGCGGATCTTTAGTGGTACTAGGATCGAACCCATGACATGCTAGCCATGATCCGATGCCTAGACCACTCGGCCACGCGGCCACCTCCCATTCTTGCTCTCAACTTCTTAGGAATCAATGGTCTTATGGATCTCTTCTGATTTCTCAGTTTCTGGAAGGTTAACAACAACAATACGATAAAATATAATTTTTCTTGTAAGACAGTGAAAACAGGAATATTAATATCAAAAACTTTTTATCCGAAAAAGTACTTGGAATTTTGTTGCATTCTTTAAGTTTACATGATGACAGTTCGCTTTCGTTTTTAACATGAATTCGTTTTACTCATTTATGTAAGCTACACAGTAGCTTTATTTAATTCTAATGAGATAAATTAAACATAATGATACTCTTAACGTACTAAACACATAAAAATATTTTAGCAGACATTATTAAAATTAAGTTCCATCATCAATTTAATCTGAAGACACCCTTTCAAAATATTTAACAACCCCCTCATTGTTATTTCTTCCTCCTGAAAGCAAAGTTCATCACATTAATATAAAGAAAAAGAAGTGCTGTCATTGTGTTGGAAATATGCACACGACAATTAGAACAAAGTAACAGTGGCCAATTTTCGCAACATTCTCAACGTGTCTTACAAATATTCATTCAAAAACAAACAAGACCCTCTGCATTTAATTATGAAACTAAAGGGAAAACTTCTCAATACCCACAATTTCGGGCATAATGCACTTAAAAGACATCAAATAATATTTTAAATATCTTTCCTTGCCTTTTCGAGAACTCGTGTTTCTAATTTGGCATGTTTTTAATTCAAATATTTACGAAGGGCTTAAATCATTCCAGACTTTTAATTCCTTTGGCAACATTTGTATTTCCTATTTAATGCTTAGAAAGTAATTTAGGAGCGAAATATTAATAATTACTCGCCTGAATGTTTGTTTAAAGGAGTCCTTGTACTCCTGATTAAAGGAGCCACCAACGCCAAAACATTTTAGAATTTAATGAGTAACATTCCATCGTTAATCAATTTCACCCATTAGTAATACCAAAGCTCACAGTTTTGAGTTATGAATGCCATTAGATAGGATCTCGTGTGCGCAATGGTAAATATTAACTTTGGGTTTAACAGGTAATGTCATTTTAATGTTTACCTCCGTCGTTAGTTATCTTAATGATTTCCTTCGAGATTTAAGAAAAGGGAATTCTTGTCGATGGGTAGGGAAATGCGATGGATTCCACTGGAATCGGAATGCCAAATAAAATAGAATATACACTAAATTCGGATTAGAAGCAGCATCAAAATGTCAGCGATGGAATTTTGTCATCAATGTAGATACAGAGTACAGCTTAGCTTAACTTAATAAGATATCTAAGATACATCATTTATACAAAGTGATTTTATTTTATGCTTCCATTAGACATATGGAATTTTAAAACGAATTTAGGGGAGTTGGTAACATTTTCAAACAAAATGTGGTTCATATTTTGTTTATTTTCTCAAAATATTTGGATAACATGTGATATAGTTGAAATAGATATTGCTAGATAGAAACATTTGTATATCATTATCGCATACTTATGCATTAATATATTTAATACAATAAGTAATAAATTAGGAGCTACAAACAATGATGGATTCTCATTGAACTGCGGCCTGAAAGAAGTTTGGTATGCATTTTACTATGTTTTCATTAACTCGCTTTCTTGTCTGACCGGGTGGAATTTTCTAAATGATTTTAAACTAACTTTCCGATGAGCTAGAGACTTGAACTTTGGTCATAGCATGAAGTGGATGACAATGCATGCCCAAATGGGGAAAAAATACTAGTCTCAAACCTGGACCTTCCAAAGAGGCTTGTATGACTGTCCGGGTGGAATTTATATTTGATTTTAAATTAACTTCTAGGTAAGCTAAAGACTGGAAATTTGGCCATAGCTTAGAAGTGGACGACTTTGCAGGAAAATGGGGGGGGGAGTTCTAGTTTCAAATCCAGGCCCCGAAGAGGGTTTTATGTCTGTCCGGGTGGAATTTTGAAACTGATTTTTAACTAACTTCCCAACGAGCTAGGGACTTGAAACGTGGTCAATAGCTAAGAAGTGGATGAGACAATGTATGAAAATCAGAAAAAGAAGTTCTAGTCTTGAAACCGGGCCCCCGAATAGGTGGGCACCGATTTCGACCAAGAGCCCCATAACTCCGGAACTTAC